TATATATATATATATATTAATAATTAGTTGTATTAAAAAAATTATATATATATATATATTTATTAAAAGATATATATATATATATATATATATATAAATATAGTTAAAGAATATACTAAAAAATATATATGTAATTCGTTAGCAAAAAAATATTTACTAATTATTATTTTATATTTTTTATTTAGGGTGTGTTCGCAAAATATTTTCACTACCCGCAAGTGTACGTATAGCTATAGTTAGTGGCGAGCAATGTCGTATTCCACAGAGATTGTTGTCAAAATAACTAAGTATCAAAATGTAAACGGTTAAATAGTATTCAGTCTAATGCAAACTTAAATGGTGATTTTATTCTAAACTAATGAATGATTATAAAATAAATTCTAACACTAATGGAGGCTTGTTCTAAGATAAATCAAGAATGAGAAAATAGATTCTAGGCTATGCTTTCCTCGGAATTATTCTAGCAAAGATTAATTATTCATTCAAACCTTATTTAATTCTACCATTCATAGGGATAATCGCCAAAGTAATTTACACCTTTCTCTCGTAGATATTAATTGTTATCTATCTCCTCTCGGTCTCAAGATGAACAATCAACTCCCATAAACTCCTAAGATTCTAGTTCTCTCGCAAGATTCTATCAACCTCTCGGTCTGTTTAGCCTCTTACGTTATGAATTTCCCAATTCTAGCAATCAACTATCTCTTCTCGGTCTCAAGTCAATCATAAATATGCACAAATACGAGCCCTATATTCACACAATTGATAAAAGCACAAGAAATTGATAAACGAATGATAAACCGGAATGAATAAACAAAATCACTTCATAAAATAATCCGAGTACTCGCAAATCCTAGAATCCCTAAAAGGTTTAGCTACTAAACATATTCTCAAAACCCAAAATAAATATATTCATGAGTTCAATGAAGAAGTAAAAGAGAAAAGAAAGAAAAACTATTGTCGCCGTTAGTTCCCGAATCTTCAATCTTGACTTCCTCGAATTCCTCGTGTGTTTCGTGCTTTCTCTTGGCCTCCAATGGTGTCGAAAGTCCCAAAAACGAGTTCCTCAAGTCTCTTTTATACTGTAGGGTCATTCTGGGTCGAAAAAGGGAAATAAAACGCGTAAGAATCCTATTCCCCGCAGATCTTGTATGCGCGTCACATGAGTCGTGTCACATGCCACATGAGTCGTGTGACTTTTCTCAACATTTCGGCGAACTTCCAGACTCACACGACCACTCACACGACCGGGTCACACGAGTCGTGTGAGGCCACACGACCCGTGTCTCAACCCACACGATCCGTGTGAAAAAGCCGTAGCTGCGTCTCTTATTCTCTCAACCCACACGACCCGTGTCACTACCCACACGAGTCGTGTGTCCTCTTCTGCACCCGTTTTCGCCATTTTTCGTCCCGATTCCATTTCTACCGCATTTCCGGGCATATTTCCTACAAAATCAACGACAAAAACACCTCTATCATAGATTAATAAATAAAATAAAATGGTGCACAATCACACGATAACCATGGCCAAATATCACAATATATCACTCATAATGCATGAAAATATGATGAATGTCAGGGTGTTAGTAGACCTAGACAATCTGCCAGGGATAACGACGACGAGGTTAATGAATATTATCAAGGTTCTGGCCCCCGACACACTAGAAGTCGGGGTGTAGATGCGTCCGTTCGTCGGGAGAGGGACAGACAGACGATGCTCCTCAACTACAATATAATTTTATAATTTAGAGAGATTATACAATTAATTAGTTATGAAAGTATTTGGATTATTTTTATTGTTGTTATAATCAAGTAGTAGTGATATTAAATAATAAATTAGTTTAAAATTGTCATTGTACTTTATTAATGTAAAATGTAACGTTTCTAAATGAGTTTTTTTTTATTGCAAAACATAAGTTGAATGATCTGTAACACGAATTAAAAATGAAAAAAAAATTATCATTGAGAACAATCGAAAATCACATCAATGGTACTTTTTTTTCATTTTTAAGTTGAATGGTTTTTTTTGTTTGCTAAACTTCAGTTGAATGATTTTTTTTTTATTCTAACGTCTAATTTATAAAAAATTATTTTGAATATATAACATAATAATTTATAATAATATTATTTTATGAAAAAAATGGTGTCCGGCCGTTGGGGCCGTCCGATTTCGGCGGCTGGACAATAAGAATTTTTTTTTTTACTTTTTAGAAAAATGGCAGGAGCAAAAATGTCCAAGGAAAGGGGTAAATAGTAATAGGAGGACGGTCAATAGTAATTCCCTAATAATGGGTACCAACAAAATTTATGGGCTGCTCGAGTGCCAGCTTTACTAAGTTGATCGACGAGGATTGAAAACAAATTGGTAGTTGAAAGTCAGAAAATGTAGCCTCAAAAAATATCTTCTGAAAATTATGACCTACAACGTACTTTGTCCACATCTTCAGGCCACATGAATAATTTNTGATTATATATGTATACCCTTAATTTGGAAATTATGATTTCTTGTTTTGTAATAATTACTTTTCTTAAGAACATCACAGAAATTATGTATAAATACTTAACTATTATGCAATGGGACATTAGGACTTATATACCTTTCAAATTAAAAATTTAGTATGTCATATATTAAGCCATACAAATAAAATCTATAATCATCGATTTGACGTATGAACCCCACACCCACCCCCCACCAATCAAGGTCAATTAAGCACCTTCTTTCATTTCGCACATTTTTTTGTCTCAACTACAAATAATGATAAAATGAAATTTAAAATAATTATTAAGAAGAGTCCAAACTAAAAGTCCTAATTCGTGATGGTAAAAATAAAATTAAAGACAGGCATAATAATAATATGATGGCAGAATGTAATTAACTTGCAAGTCTGACGATTACGAGTGAGTGGAATGTGATTTGTGAACAGTACAGTTTTAGAAAAACAAAAAAAAGGCTTCAAGTCAATCACGAGGGTTGTGGAAACGACGTATTTTTATTTTTGGAAAAATTATAAGTTTCAAAGATAATCATATTTTTGTTTGAATATTATCTCCTAATTCTTAAGCGTCCTATGGTTAAGCCTTAAATCAATGCTTAATTGCCTAACCTTTTACCGAAAGTAGGTTGAAAAAAAATAATTTTTTTACCGAGGGTTTAGTTAAATTTTTTATTTTACTATTCTAAATTCTAATCTAACGAACTTTAATTGATATCTTAAGTTCCATTCGATAATCACATTTGGTACATTCTGTTCATTCAACAAATTTACTAAAAAATTTATCCATTAAATTTTCAGAAAAAATAGCATATCATTCAAAATATACAAAATTACATGTCAATTTTCTGTCCGAACTTTGTATCATTGAAAAATAGACAAAGACAAATTTTACATATGCAGTAAATTTGTCGCCCAATTGTCAAAATATCTACAATTCCGATCCACAATGGGGGTATTGTTTTATGGCACTATTAAGAAGACATGCTTCATAGAAACATTGTTTCTACAATAATTAATGGATGAAATTAATTAGAATACCAAAAGCCAAAAGTTCCAATTTCCAAAAGTGAAAAAGTAGATAAATTTGGGGTGCCAAAAATAAATTTACATCGGCTTCCCGTATTCACCACACTCCCTATAAATAGCATGCCTCACCATAAGCTACTCAAGGCACAAACATTAAACACACCAAAAGTGAAGCCAAAGCCAAGATCAATTTGCTATTCCATATCACCAAAAAAATAAAAAATAAAAAATAAAATGTCACCAACATCACTTTTGGCCATAACTCTTGCCTTAGCCATCTCCATCCAAGGCACTCTTGGTAAGTCATCTAATCACAATCACATTCACTAGTGTTTGCTCATTTTACTTGAGACTAATCTCTCTCTCTTTCTCTCTCTTTCTCTCTCTCTCTCTCTCTCTCTCTCTCTCTCTCTCTCAATGAAGGCGACATCCACTGCGAAGACCTGAACGAGAACTCGTGCGCGTTTGCAGTCTCGTCCACGGGCAACCGTTGCGTGCTCGAGAGCCGCAGCTTCTTGCGCAAGCTCGGGTCTTCGGACGAGTACACGTGCCGCACATCCGAGATCACGGCATCCAACCAGCTCACCAACTACATCGAGACAGAGGAGTGCGTCACCGCATGTGGGGTCGACATGCGTGCCCTAGGCATCTCCTCTGACTCCCTCCTCGACCGCAACTTTGTCGACAAGTTCTGCTCCGAGCCGTGCTACAAAAATTGCCCCAACATCGTCGACCTCTACTTCAACCTAGCTGCAGGAGAAGGTTACTATTATTTAATTATTCATTTGTAATATACAATATATAATTATAAGAATATGATTAAATAATTGCGAAGTACAGGGATCAAACCCTGGCTGGTTAATCGAGGCAACTTAATTGAAATATTACATGTTAACCAGGCGAATAACTAATTTTTAAATATTTACTTAATTATTTACTTTAGTATTTTAAGGAGGAAAAGATATAAAAATTGGTAAGTTTTTGTTGGACGTTTTAAATTTATAATCGTGGAACATTTGGGCATTGGCAGGAGTGTACATTCCAAAATTCTGCGAGATGCAACGCTCGGGCGCACGGCGTGGGATGATTGAGCTTAACAGCTATCAGGCCAGCGATAGTTTCTCGACCGATAGCCTGGGCCCGAGCCCGGCCCCAGCCCCAGGCCCGGCCCTTTATTGAAGCTTCTTACGAAGAATTTTTAAGTCTTCGAAGTCGAAAACTACCCCAAAAGTCAATTTGGTCCGATGCAAGGCATGGTGAAAGAAAGAAAGAAAGAAAGAAAGATACAATAATTAATGATAATGGAATAAGGATATGTTGATATCCAGCTTACCTATTTAGTAATTAGTANTTTCACCTTATCTTTTATAGTTAATCGGGGGTAGTTTACTTTTTATACACGTTATGTTTTCTTATATAATTACATTTTATAATTTATTATACTGTTTGGTTTTCCTATTTATATACTGCTTGCGTGATGATTTGTTGCATGTTGTTCACACTCTTATGCTTTTAATCGTCTTAATCTTTTTACATATTATCACGAATACTTCTCACATTGAAGTTATTTTAATGGAAAAAAAAATATTATAACTGTGATTTTCTGATAAAATTGGAACGATACAGAATTAATGAACTCATTTTTAAGTGTTAGCAGATTGATGTAAAATTGATTGTTTATTTAGATGTAAAATTATCTGATTGAAACTCATTTAAAGGTTCGATCTGTCAAATTTGCTAACTAACTTGTTTGGTAAAAAAAACTTATTTAATTAATTATTTAGACACAAAACATTAATTATGAATGAGCTAGGAACACTCATTTACAAACTAATATGATCCACTAATCAAATATGTTAAACAATTTGCTATCTACTAATATAATAAGAAACAGAGGACCGTTTAATACATAAAGGAAAAAAAAAAAAGGAAAAGAAAAATAATGTTGCATGTTGAACGAGTTATAAATAGATATGAATATCTATTGCCATACAGCCTAGAGTCAAAATTAATGGTGGAAAAAATTGCCGAGAATAATGTGTTCAATATTTTTGTTATCGTTTGTGGGTTTGAAGATTTAGTTAATTCGAGATTTTGTGTTTTAATTTTATATATATTGTACAAAAGTCAACTCACAATATACCAAGAGTCAGCTTTGTGAGTAATTTTTTGTTAGGGTTTCGTGAAGTTTTTTGACACGCGTGGTTGAAAGTCTTGCAACTAAATTAAAGAATAAAAATAAATTTGACTACGTAGTACATACTCTTAATTTAAATTTTTTTTTATTTTGAAGAAAATATTTTTTTAAAAATGGTAATGAAAACTTCGCATCCCACAGACATTGGAATCTAACAACATATTGAAATTTTGTCTTTAATTAAACTAGATTTCATTTTAAATGAAATAAAAACATACATATAGAAATTAAAGGAAACATTTAGCATTACAGAAACTTAGTCGATAATTAAATTCATTATTAGGCATGACTGCATGAGATGTGAACGAAAAATGTGAATATGTGATATCCCAATTAGATCAACCATTTTTTTTTAATTATTTAAAAACACATTTGAGATCTGATATCTCTTGGTCTAACATTACTGTTAATAAAACCGTTTTAATTTATTTCTATGAAGGTTTTAGTTGTAAGCTGTAGTGAAAATATATCTCCATGAGCACAATTTTGCATCTTCAGAATCAGGAATTGTATGTGATAGGGCGAAACATTTTTTTATATTATATGGTTAATAGTGTATTTTTATAAATTTAATTTAGTTACATTTATATATTTTTTAATTAATTATTGTTTGAGCGGAATATTTGGATATTTACTATTTGTTGTAAATTGGGATCCTCAAGCATTCATCAATCCACACCAAACAAAGTAAAGAGAAACGAACGAGAGAACAAAAAACAGAAGAGCAGAAAAGTCTATCCCTTTATTCATCGTATATCACCCTTTTATAGGGTTTACAAGTGAGAAGCCCTAAAACCTAATTTCCCTAACTAATGGACTTCAGGCCCAATTATCAATTAGTAATGTCCATATACATATATTTATAACACTCCCCCTTGGACATTACTACATCATGTCCATGTCTCGTTAAAAACCTCGCTACAAAACCCAGGGGGAAAAAAATAGTCGAGGAAAAGAGTACATGACGTATGCATATTTATGTGTTACACTTGCTGCCTCATTAAAAACCTTACTAAGTAAAACCCAATGGGAAAAAACATAGCTAAGGGAAAAAGAGTACAACACCGGCCAACAGGACCTAATCTTCAAGATTACAATTAGCCTTCCGGGCTCTCAGGATTTATTTATCGCTCCCCCTGAAGGCAAGAGCATTTCAAGTTACATTTATAAATGTTTGTTGCTCCCCCTCAAGGTAAGAGTATCTACATAAAATCGTCATTGGTTGCTCTTCCGGAGTTAATATGGATTCAAAAATATCATCCAATGTATTTCCATAATTTATTTGTGTAACACAAACGGAGTTATCTTCAAGATAAATATGGGGAAATTTAAATAACCAATGGTAAAGAGTTAATACCATTTAAGAGGTCTATAACTAATCGAGGACCCAGTACTTCGGGGATCAATTATACAGTTTATGTCTTTATCCACCAATATCATCTATCAAGTCCAAAGATAACTCAACATACATGAAAGCATAATGGGATATTCTCAAATTTATCACGACATCTCTCTACGGAGAGAAATAGTAAATCTTGCTAGCAAATTCATCGCAAATGCAGTATCAGGCCTGATGCAGTTTGCGTGATAAAAGTTTAGCACAATTGCGCTTAGTAAATAAACTTCAGGTCGTTTGTGGACTTCAAGTCCATTGGAGCTTCAGGTCCTATAATATCCTCATTTGTTTCTTTGGATCTTTGTCAAATTCCAAATATTTGACACTCATTGGTGCTATAAGTTTACATCTCTAGAAAGAGATTCAAGTAGATTGGTTGGTTAAAAATACTCCTTCTAGGAGTGCTCGATCTACAAGTCGAGATAATACTCTTTGGTATTTAACCAAGAGTTCTAACTCCGTGTATAAGCATGAGCGAACTTATTTAATCTTTACATAGTGTTCACCACATAATCTATTTGACCGAGATGATCATTTTGTATATTATCATTAATATACACAAGGATCTACCTTGAATTTCTTATTTTACTTCTTCAGGAAGAATTTAGTTGGTTGTACCACATCTTACCAACAACTTCAAATAATTAAACTATTTAATTATCGTTCATCTCGGGTACTCGAGCCCATCCAGGACTTTTCACATATGACTCGGTAGTCATGTTAATGATGCTGCCATAAATATTAACTTGCGGAATCATTGCTAATGAGAGAACTTATAAATATTTGGGTCTCTGCATAAACCCATGAACATAATCTCGCTATATTTACGTCATACCACCACATCACATGTTTCATATAAATATTCATTATCCTTCTGGGATATGCTATCCTCCTGGGATATATCGTGTAGCGAGTGAAAGCTCTGCCTCAATTTTTCTTTCTATCTCAATCAACTTAAGCGCTTCTAGCACTTCTATTCTTTTGATCCGGATCATTATTTGAGACAGTTAAGAAATCACATAGGCAAGTATGTTGTCGACAACTGATATTCAATTTATATTTTTCTCTCAACCATTTGATAGCCATATTTATAATCATTTCCCGTAAAATCAAATTTTGGCCGTTCCGCATTTCCAGTACTATAATGGTTTGATGCACGTGCAAGATGTACTGGATCAACTCTTCAGGAGTTTATTATAAAGGAGTGTTAATTCTTGAATATACATTTTCCGCGGACTTTCATATATCATATCACCTTATGCTTCAAGCATTAAGGAGTCAATCATTCCCTAGGGAATTTGCTTACTCTGTGGTACATCTATATATTTACAAATAGGTCACTCCATTATAACTACAGATTTCGCTTGGCAGAAATATAATATGAACTTCAAGTTCAATTTTTATTGCGTGGTTTGAAATAATGAAAACATTAATATTTCACATATTTCGCGGCATTAATAAACTCATGCTCATATCTCCCCCTAATGCCGTGAAATTATCTTCATATATTATGCAAAAAACGTACCAAGGAATAAACTGATCCCCTATAATGGCCTCTAGGTATTAAAAATTCGACGGAGTATAAAAATCATAGCATACCTAGTCTGTAATATAGGCCCGTAAAGGTACGAATTGGTGGTGATATAAAATGGTGCATAATAATAATAAATTGCAGATGGGAAATGTTCAATTCTCCATGCATTTTAGGGGAAAATTATCATAAATAATTGCCCAATGTGATCCAACTGCTCATGCTAATTATATAAGTTGGGCATGGAAGTATAATAATTCATTTCTAAGTGAACACTATATGCTTCAGGCACTAAAAAAAATTATGTGCTTCGGGCACTATATATAAATTTATTATTGTAGCTGTCAACAATATAAGTCAATGATATGCATCTTACCAAACATAAAAGCAAACATAAATAATCATAAAGTCTCAATGAAAACATAGGATAAAAAGCAAAAACAAACCACAAATGTCTAATAGAAAAAAAAACAGAAATGTCTAATAGCATGAAAATAGACCATCAATAAAATATCCAGTTCTAATATAGAATGCATATTAATCACACATTATCACCGTAGTCCTCGAGCTCGAGCTGCAATAAATCATCATCATCATCATTGATGGCTAAATTTGCTTCAGGCAAACTAGCATGATGTGATTCACCTTGAGGAGCCTTTCCTTTCTTATCCTTGAGCATTCTTTGATAAGCCTCGACTAGGTGCCGTGGAGTACGACATGTACGGGACCAATGATTGTCGCACCCACATCTAAAGCAAACCTGCTTTTGCTCTTTAGGTTGTGGATGTGAATCGCGTCGATTTGAACGATCCGCATCAATGTTTAAGTTCTCTCTATGACCTCCCGGGACGTTATCACCATGATCTCGCCCTCCATCACGAGTCCAAACACGGCCACGACCACGTCCACGACCACGACCGTGACCACGTCCACCACGGGGTGCCTGGGTATGGTATCCTCGACCTTTCCCTCGCACATTATGATGTCCGTGAGTAGTCGCATGTGCTTCAGGCACAGCTTGAGTTCCAACCGGCCTAGCATTATGATTTTTCATCAATAATTGATCGTGTTTTTCGGCCACAAGCAAGGCCGAAATCAGCTCAGAATGCGTTGCATAGTTCTTAGCCCTGTACTGCTGCTGGAGTACAAGGTTGTTAGCATGAAAAGTGGATAAAGTCTTTTCAAGCAACTCAGTCTCGGTAATGTTCTGCTTACAGAGTTTAAGCTGTGAAACAATGCGGTGTAGAGC